AATCCCAGGCGTGGCCTCCCCAATGCTCAGTTTCCTTGGGGGGTGGTCTATATTTCCTGACGTACCTGTTGCCGTCGCAACTTCGTGACAGCTCCATCCATTTTCGCAAATGGTCATGATGGGTGTCACTCCCTTCATGCCGATATTTGTTTGGGTCCCGAGGTGATGATGTACTCCTTCTGGTCCATCGGCCGCTGTTGTGAAGCCACGGGCGGCAAGACCCATGGCGATGTGGGCATGGCCGTGTTGGAGCGCGGTGGCCGGTGCTTTGGTGGGACGATGGAGGCGCATGTGCGGTGCTTCGGTGGGACGACGTTGGTCTCTCCCAGGAGACGCGTGTGGAGTCTCACACGACCAAGGCCCAAGGCCATGGGCATAAGGCACAGGGCATAGGGCATAGGACAAGGTCCCGTTCACTGGGGACAAGTGCCTCCGCGTGAAAGGGCAAAATGGGCCACAATCTCGGTCGGTCTTTCCAGGTGGTCAACCTCCTGAAGACCACGATGACTTGCACGGCCTACGCCCTGGTGATTGGCAAGAACAGCGCGGACGTGTGGACGGCTTTGGATGTCCACGGCAGCTGGTTTGTCACAGCCCGACGCTTGTTTAGCCAGGTGCTTTCAGAAATCGCAGGGGTTGGCCACTGAATTTCCATAGAGCGGGGACGAGGATATCTTGAACTCGGCCAAAGTGGAGAAGAGCGCCGCAAGGGGGTAGGTGTGGGGAGTGTGTGGGGAGGAATGAAAAAATACAGCATGATATAGGCTTAGTCCCGAGTGGGGCACCAGGCAAGTGGACTGGACAATTTTTTGCGACAAACACGCCGCGCAATCAACCACAATGGGGGCTGTGATGAAAAGCGGCGAGTGTGTGAGTGTAGTGTGTTTTCTCCAGGGCCTGTCGCAAATGCGGCAAATTCTGACAGCGAAATGAGTTCAAGTGCACGCACCACTTTTGCATAACCAAAAGAAAACCGCAGCATGCGCAAACATGTTTCTGGGAGCCGAGGAGGGAGTTTCCTGACGGTCTTGGTGGTGATTCTGTTGCCCCTCTGCCTGCTGCGGGACTTGTCCAAGCTGGCCTTCTCCAGTTTTTTCGGCCTCGCCTGTGCCGCTGAGAGCAGTGGTGGGAGTCGCCCTGGGGCCGACGTGGGTGGAACAAAACCCGCACCGCCCTGGGGTGGAGCAAAAAGCCGTTTGCAGGGCATTGGTGGGGAGAAGGGTTATGAATGATTGAATGGATGAAAAACCAAGTGGCTTGAAGCAAGCGCCCACGAAGAGCCGATCGAGGAAGATTTTGCGCGGTAGGCCTTCCCTTATTCGGAAAATGGTCGACGCCACGGAAACCAAAACCTTCTAAGCCCAGGAAGCGGGTGTGGTGGTCTTCATGATCGTCCGCTTGGTGACGGGCGAATATGCGCCGGGAGGCGAGTTCTACAACAGCCAGGTGAGGGACGAGGTGTTCATCCGACAGTTCTTCGTTGGGCGGACCGCGCGAAGACCAGGGAGGGCATCACTATCACCACTGAGCACCTAATGGATCCCGATGGGTCCTTCCCACGACCCCCTAGGGAGGTGAACTCAAGGTTAGGGGCAAGGGAGTTCCAAGCACCTACTTTTTGGCCCCCCCAAAAAACTAATCCCATGGTCGTGGCTGCACGGCACGAAGCAACATGCCTCCCTCGCCTCGGCTTCCGGTTTCGTGCGTGGCCGACGCGGAGGAGCCGGGCACCCAACTCAGTTGGGGCGACGGCGACGGCCCCGAGATCCTCGCTTTCGACTGGAGCGTCTTCGTGCTGATGCTCGGCTGTGTGGGTCGACACGGCGCGAAACCCTCATGGAGGAAGCATGGAGGGTGGGAGGCAGCGGAAGATGGTTCGACTGGGGGTCCTTTTGGAGGGCATCATTCATTGGGGAAGACCTTTTCTCAGTGATGAGTGTCATGATGGTGTACGGTGTGCTCCCTGTCCTCCATGTCCGCCTTCTTTTCTGCTGTCGAAATCCGGACGTCCGGTTGCAAGGTGCTAGGTCGCATCCAGTCCCCGTGTTTCCTCGCTGAGAGTTTAGGGATGTCACTCATGGAGTTGCCCACCATCATTGAGACTTGTCCATGAATCCATGACCGCATGTTCACACCGCAGACAGGGCGGGATCGAGGATCGATCGCGCGAGCCCCAAAGCGTGTCGTGCGTTGCCGGTTGATGGCAGTTGTTGGTCGCTAGTTGACAGCGACAAATCGAGAAGTGTACGACATTGAGTTTGTTGGTTGTTGAGTGCCCACTTACCAAGTTCATGGTAGCGGAGCATGTGGGAAGAAGAGGGCTCCATCGCTTTTTGGCATGAAAAAAAGGACTTGGGTTCCCGGCCCGCAAATCTTTGAGCTTCACATGTTTTTTGAATACATTCTTCATGCATCTTCATGCGGGACGGTGACCCCCTGTCCAATGTTTGGCCACTCCAAGTCCTAGCTGCACTGGACAGTTGGTTTTTGTTGCATTTCAATGGCGTGCCAAGCTAAGCGGAACTTAGAGTTTCTTCTTCTTTATTTTTCCTGGTCACTTGGTGCCATTTGATGTGCATCAACCCTTTGTCCGGTCTCGACCCCCTTGTCCCTCGTGTTGGTTTGTGGTAATCGGGTCGCGAGGATCGGGAGCATGTCGACGGCCTTTCTGGCGCACTACAACGCGCCCAAGAGCCATGGTGGAGATTTGGGAGATTTTCGGAGCGTAGAGGATCTAGACTCGAACTACAACTGCTCAGGCTGTTTCAGAGAAATCCATTGGAGCACACCTCTGAACTGAGGGGCGCTGTCAGATAGATCAGTAAAGAAGTTGGAACCACGGAGTCTGCATCTTGAGTCTTGAAGCAAAATCGAACGAACACACACACACACACGCACGCACGCACGCACACGCACACACACGCACACAAACACATATTGCGTGTGATACTCTTCGCTTGAAGGGCAATTCGACAGCTTATGGTCCTTATCTTTTTGCATGTGAGGCAGACGGGCCGCAATCAATTCCTACTCTACCTGGGTTGTGGATCATGGCGCCAGGATACCTTTGTTGACCAACCTGGAAGGTGGAAGGTCGTTCGCGGCAAACGGCAAATGGTGGACTGTTTCTCGGGGTCCAAGTTGCCCATTCCAAATTTTGGATCACCAACCACCCAAATGATGTTAAAAACCCAGAGGTCACTTATTGTGGGGGGCTCTAGCGGCTCTAGGTCTAGGTCGCTGTGCGTGTTTTTTAGTGAGGTTCTACCACCAGTTGCGCCGACGGAGTTCGCGCAGCTTCCTCCGGGCGGGGGGCTGCGCGAGCATCGCCCGGCCCGAGCCGGGGCGTGGTCACTGGTGACGGTCAGCGACGGGCTCGTGGTCATTGGGGAACCCGGGCCGAACTTCCTTGCCTTGAAACTTCAAGGGGGTGATTGATTGATCTTTGCCTGAATCTTTCGAAGGTTGGAAGGTTTTGGTTTTGTGGGTCAGGTTTTGACTCGGCCATGTGACAAATGGCACTCACGTGTGTATTGTGAGAGCCTTGAGCCAGCCAAGTTGGCCGAGGTGGCAGCTGAGTGCGGTTCAAAAGGGGGAAGATTGATTTCAATTTTCCAGCCGTTATATAGTGACTTCAAGGTAGATGGCTCAAGTGCTTCCTAATTCCGGATTCTCCTCTAAAGTCTTCAGGTAACATGGTTGTCCATGCAACCTTTCGTTGGCTGGAGCTTGTTCTTGATTTGCTTGGCTGGAGCTTGTTCTTGCGCTCCCCTTGAAAATTCCCCCGTCTAACGGGGAAAACGTGCGGATTCCTCCATGAGTCCAGGCCACTGCTGGGGGCTATAGCATCGCCGTGCTCCTCTTTGCGACCTGCATGAT